CCAAGTAATTCATGAGAATTCGACTGAGACAGGTGTTTTCAAACGAAAAGAGCGTCTTTGGAAACCGAGAACAATTCTAAATCTACTAAGGGTGCCAAAAAAACTATGACTTCGAAAATATCTACGGGTTCTGTAAAGAAGGAAAAAAAAAACATACACCGAATACTTCCCGTAGTTCTCGTTCCTCACGAGGATTGAGCAGTGTTTTTCGCAGAGCTTCAAGGAATTCATCGATTTCAATACAGCCATTACCTAAATATGATAAATATCAGACATCATGTGGTGGCAAGTGGGGCACTTCAAACACGCGTGGTCGCAGGTTCGAATCCCGGATCGATATCCGCATGAGCAAACCAAGCCTTCCACCTCTCCGGGATCGGTTAATTGATATCGGACTCGTCTGGGAGGGTAAGAACACTGACTTGTACATCGGTTTGTCACCGCTATTCATAGTATAGGCTACTTGCGCGTTCAATACGCCACTACTATTCTGAATAGGAGTCGAGTGCGAGGCGCATCCCTCAGACGGGATTGATTAACGCTCCAAGACTTTATTTAAGACTTTATCATACATCATTTGGTTGTCACTGAACTCCATTGGACGAACCCTCGGAATACCAAACGCTTCACTTCTTCGCTTCAGAATTATGAAGCTACTGGAATGCATAATCAACTGGATTAATGAGTTATCTGACGTAACCAAATACTTCTGCTGTCCTTTAGTACAACTTTGGTACTTTCAAGTCAATCCACTAATAATGAGGCGATATCGGCACCAATTACCATCATAATGACTTTTTAGAAAAGCTGTTTCCATGAGCAAAACAATATGCGACAACCTAACCCCAACTGAGTTGAGTAATACCTGTAAATCCGAGCCCTGTCCTATGCTAAGTGCCTTATGGTAATGGAAAGATGAATCAGCGCAATTCTACATATGTATGTTGTTTTTTGCCTTTAATGGGATATCTTGGTACTTAGAACTGCAATGCGTGGACTTTGAACAACTCCCAATCCCTGGGGGATAGCCTGATGCACCACATTGGAGATTCGTCCGGGAGCTGCACTCAGCCCCANGAGTAATACCTGTAAATCCGAGCCCTGTCCTATGCTAAGTGCCTTATGGTAATGGAAAGATGAATCAGCGCAATTCTAATGTGTATGTTTTTTCCCTTTAATGGGATATCTTAGTACTTAGAACTGCAATGCGTGGACTTTGAACAACTCCCAATCCCTGGGGGGATAGCCTGATGCACCACATTGGAGATTCGTCCGGGAGCTGCACTCAGCCCCATGATTAGTGTTTGTGCATAAGTGGAACAAATTGAACTCCACCCGCTGAGACCACTAAGAAGCAAGTCGTCATAGCTGGCATGGCTGGGCGATGAGGAGCTTAGAAAGGAGTGAGATTGTCACCCATCAAGATTTCTTTCATGGCATGGGGATAGCGTCTGGATCCCGTGATGACCAGTGCCGCACCAGGAACGCCCCAATTCATCTCCTTTTGGAAATAGCTGTCACGTTTGAATGCATGTGTGGCTTATACATAGCCTTCAGGAGCAGCTATTGTCCAAAAGAGCCCTTTTTTGTCTTCGGGTAAAGGTCTAGCTCAATCAACCAATCGTAGAGGGTGGGCCAGCCAGGTTGGCCCAAGCACCTCAAGATTTGTTCCCCGGGCCATAAGCTTGACAGTGGCGTGATTAGGCACTACCTCTCCTCAGCCTCTAGGGACAAGAGTGCAACAGTGGTTGCCAATTATCACGAAATCTGATCAGGGAAACTTTTCTTCCATTTGCATCGTTCACTGACGAGTTATCTGGGCATCTATCCCTCATAGCTACCCAATAGGTGAGACGTTATCCCAAGAGAATGGTCCTCTCTTGGAACATCGTTGATTGATGACTACATTACGGTAGGAGTACTAAAAAAAGTAATCGGGCTCAAGGTGAAAAAAATTGCCGGAAACCTACCATCGATGTCAGTTTGACTGATGATGGCTTCGATTCGTGAACTGGACGGTAGCTCACCAAGTTGTATAAGTGCCATCTGAAATCAACATTATGACATGATGATGGAAGCTCTAACAATTAGAAATAATAATATGAAATATGAAGGCAATAAAGCAGTCACATCGGGCCATACCTCTAATTCTTCTCTCGTTATTTTGCCATCACCGTTTTTGTCAAATTCCTTGAACAAATCACGTAACTCGGTTTCACGAATATTCTCCATACCGATTCCACAGTTGTTCGTTGTAGGACCGGCGTGGAGACTTCAGAAAATCTATAAACCGTTCGTTGAAAAGCTCACAGGGAACGTAGCCGTTTCACGACATTGACTGTGCACAACGAGTCTCGAATACGGTAGGATTTCGACGCTCAGTAGGTCGAAGAGAAGATTTTTTGAAATGGAAAGAATCTGAAAGGCACCGGCACGAGGAACTGAACTCTTCTGTATGTAGTATGATAAAGGACGGTACTTTAAATAATAAAAAAAAATCGTTCCGGGAGCATCCTTCCCAGCACTACAAACAGTATACTGAACAATAAATGGGCGCAGGTAATTAGGAATGAAAGTAAGTATGTATGCTTGAGACCTCTCAGTGGGAATGAGATCAAAGCCACTAGACTTCACTGGGGTCGAGGTTGTAGCTTTGAACATGATGGTTGCACTTGCACTGGTAGTTTATCCGATTAGATCTCACCAATGAAGTCAGTAATCCTCTGGGACATTACTCTCTTCCCTGTCCGCTCCTAGAACTTTGAAATCTCTGATTTTAACATTACACGATTACGGTAAGCCATTGTCCAGTCCAGAGAAGTGCCCAAGAGGACAATTACCCTAAAATTCCATAGATAAGAGCGGTTGGAACTACCGGTGAAAAATGAATTGGAATGGAATTGAAATTGAATGCAGTCACCCTCTAACTTGATGGATGGATGAATTAAACTTCGAAGAAGAAGTTAAGAAGAAACTCCGCGCTCTTATCTATGGAATTTTAGGGTAGTTGAAAGTGATGCTTCATTACATACGTGAAAAACAAAGTGAGTCTTTGTTGCGTCCTGCCAACATTCATCTACCCTCCGTACCTTCTCATCGACAGGCACCTTTACTAAGCCCTAATCTGAGGATCGAACCTCAAGGCTAGGCCTATCCAAGAAGGTAGATGAGTAGTCCTCGGATTCGTTTGAGGGGATGAAAGCACTGCCCCGCTTATCAGAGCCATGGACCGGAAAATGAATGTAAACGGACTAATTTCAGATTTGAATAGGGAGGGCAGGGATAGGGAAGGAGGGCAGTTGCGTAGAATGTCCCAAAATGAGTTTAGCCAACGCTAAGCGGTTCAACCACTGAGTACTCTGGGGTATTTATTCGTTGCACTTCCGGAAGAAAGACCCTACTCAGATGTCATTCTGAATCCACTGCCCAGGTGAACCTTGGAAAGAGTATCTTCACAGAATCAGAAGCAAGGATAACTAGCAAGCAACCCCAACTCTGGCCATGTCGACATCAAACAGAGGGTAGAAACAAGGGAGCGAAAGAGAACAGGCTCAAATTGGAAGGGGCCATTTCTATAGGGAATGATACAAAACAAGGTCGTTTACTACCATAGATACGTATGATGCACATAAAATATGAGCATTGTATAGCGAATGGCATCATGAAATGGCCCCCAAAGCATTCAGACGTGGAGCATTTCGCCACTGAAGCAAAAGTGCCTGTGTCAGTACTTCGAACCCTACGAGCGAGACTAAAGACAACAGGGAAAGTTAATGAAATACAGAAGCTTTGTTCGCCCTTAAGTACTTGGAGAACAGCTGGAAAGGGCGTCATTGCAGATATGAATAATTCATTTATATTATTAAAGTCATGGCAGCTGTTTTCAGCGAACTGTAGGAATGGAGATAATCAGGCAAAACTGCCGCCACGTCTAACAGAAAAGTCATTAAGTTGTGCAGAAAGTACCTACCAAAACTTTCCCAATAGAGTAAGACCTTCCCGGGGTTTTTCGGGGGAAGCTCCCATGAGAGTACCAAAAAGGTTCAGATAAACATGTATGTGCATACTATTTCAAAAAATTCATGATATCGCAATCGGTTGATCAGGTGGAGGTCCATCTTCGATCTTTTT